ACGTAGCGAAAGCGCAATGTGGATTTCATTCGGGTCGCCGCACTATAGATATGGTGTTTGCTGCTCGTCAGTTGCAGGAGAAGTGCAGGGAATGACACCAGCCGTTGTACTCGGTGTTTGTTGATTTCACCAATGAATTTGATGCGGTGAACCGCGAGACATCGTGGCTGGTGTTGGGTAAGTTTGGTTGCCCGCGTAAGTTTGTAAGTTTAATTGAATGTCTGCACAGTGGTATGCGGGCGAGGATGCAGCTGAGAGGGGAGACCTCGGATGACTTTGCACTTATCGCCGGTGTGAGGCAAAGCTGTGTCTTAGCTCCTGTCCTGTTCAATATGTATCTCCATGCAATGATGCTTTGTGCGTTTGATGAGGGGGTGTGCTAACGGTGTTCGTGTGCATCATCGTATTGACGGCGGGTTGCTGTACATCCGGCGATGCGGGGCGAGAACCATAATGTGTGAGCCAACTATCCGTAGGTTGCTTTTCGCTGACGACTGTGCGTTGTTTGCACACAGCGCGGATGAGTTGTAGCACATGATTCTTGCTCTGGCTTCGACAGCGGCCAAATTCGGGCTCACCATCAACACAAGCATAACTGTCTGTCATTTTCATCCTTCACCGGAGGTTTAAGCTGCAATGGCGCCGCAAATCGGCATTGGTGCTGAAGTATTGGAAACCACCTTCCGCTTCTGCTACCTTGGGATTATGTTGTCGACTGACCACCAGCTTCACAATGAGCTGTGTATCCGCGTGTCGAAGGCAGCGGAGGCATTCGGGAAGCTTGAGTACCGAGTATGGAACGACCATCAGCTTACCGTTTGCACGAAGCTGATGGTGTATAAATCCATGTTGCTGTCCGTACTTCTATGCTGCAATGAAACGTGGACGATGTACCGGCGGGGTATGCAATAGCTCGATCGGTTCCATCAACAGTGTTTGCGACGGATTCTGCGCATCGATGGTGCGACAGTGCTGCGGACACGGAGGTGGTGCGCCGAAGTGGGATGTATGCAGTGGTCTGCATACTTCTGCGGACACACCTCAAGTGGCTCGGTCATGTGTGTCGTATTGATTCGATGCGGATATCGAAGCAACTGTTATATGGTCAGCTGAGTGTTGGGAAGCAGCATTCGGAGAAACTGAAGCTTCGTTACCAGAACATGATCAAAGTGAGCCTCTCAAGGTGAAACCTTGATTGCAGGTCGTGGGCATCGAAGGCGGTTGATCGGCGTGCATGGCGCGATCTGATCACGACGGCAGTTGTTGAGGTGCAGGAGAAAGATCTCGTGCATGAATAGAAGATGCGGCAATCGCGAAAGCGACAGGCGCCGGTGGGTTGTACTCCATCGCCATCGGGCGCATGATGCTGTAGTAGACACGGTCGCAATTGGCTGAGTCAGGAAGGCCTGGTGAGCCATGAAGAAGACCACTCGGGGTAATTACAGAAAGGACGACGGGTCCTGCAGAGAGCGTAGGCAGAACAGGCGCAGCGTTTGTAGGTACGCTGCATTCGATTTACTAACCGTTTGCTTGCATTTTGGGTCGCTATATTGCTGGTGGTGGCCTGGGTACATAATCGATTTAATGTCTACGTGAACTAGCTTCTGTTAGCTTGCACAATTGGCTCAAGGCTTGACTTAACTTGAAATGCAAAGAAAGACGACAATCAGAGGATCATTGCAAGGCGACCCCATTGAGGATAAAACACCACTGGAAACTCATTGTGAACCCAATCTCGAGTATGGATACGAAGTTAGCAGATTAATAGTCATTAGGAATGGAGTTCAGCCATACCAAGACTTGACTCTGTTCTATTTGAAAACCACCCAAACAAGATTAAGTACCGGTCTCTCATCGGCTGTCTTACACTCACTCTAATCATGCAGTCTTTATCAGACGCTCCTGATGTCCAAGAAGGTATCATGTATGTACTCTAATGCTCTGGACCTATCTAGCAATATTTCCAACTGAGACTTCGTCACAGCTCAAATGCTTGTGCTCTTATCTCTATACTGGAGTCAAGGCTACGCCCCTGACATAATTGAAACCGAGGTCGCGTTCGGCACGACCAACCCAGTAAATTTGGTAGATTGGCTCCGTATTTCCGCAATAGCCTCCAAAGTGAGCCGCTGGAGGGTCTGGTCAATAAGGTGCAGAATACTGTTTGGTGCCGACTGCACCTGAGAGGCAGTTACTTGCTTGGTGGCTGTCGTTCACCGCCCTCCGTTCTCTACGTCCGATATGGACTTCAGGCTAAAACCTACACTGAGGCGGGTAAAAGCAAGAAGTAAATACACATCCTTATCGTTGGCGCTCTGGAGTCCAAAGCTACCCATGGGGAACAGTTTCAAGCAAAAGTGCAAGAGCTTGCCTCTATTTTTCCGCTTTAGGTCCACATAAACACTCCCACCAGATTCAGAGAGTAAGACAGGCCATCTATACTAGACCAGATATTCGCGAAGGAAGAACACATACTTGAGGGGGTGGTCAAGCATACTTCTCTACGCCGTAGTATAATGCCTGTTCTACGTACGCCTCTTGAAGACTTCCAACTACTTGTTTTAGCTAATCATTTGTGGCTGCTCCTTTTGCTGACGGCGAACAGTAGGGGCAACTTTTTCAGGCAGCCACAACATAGCAGGATTGTACTCGGGATGACGAATTATCACGCCGCAGGTAGCAATCAATGATAAGGCAACGAACTCGCGACAATATCAGTTATTACTGCAAATAGTGATAGGAGTACATCAGACACGCTTGGTAATCAAGCGGACACAGAAATATTTACGTTTCATGTGTACAGACTGCGAATATACGTCAAGCCGCATCCCTGTTTGTTGCATCAATGACCGCCTGAAGGAAACTCGACACGTTCTCTCTAAACTGAACCCGTCCAATCGGCACGCTGTGAAGAAGTGCGAGCCTCCATGAAATTGCGCGTAAGCTGTGTCAGAGTTGTCTCTTTGCACCTTTTGTCGGACCGCAAAGATAAGTAGTATTGATCATGAAGCAAAATCACCGGGTGTTGAGAACAAAACCAAGAAACGCAACCAATCACCTTTATAAGCTTATTCTATGCTTGGCCTGGTGTCTTAGCCAAGGTACCGGATTTTGAGCTGGGAGTATACCGCTGAACAGTGGCTTCGAGAAGAACATTACCTTGTGAGAGAACAAAAGGACATAAGCATCGGCAGCAATGCGAATCAAAGGCCTATGTTTAAGCGAAGTGACTCAATGTCCATCGTAAAATACATAATCTTTCATGCGAACTATGAAATACTAAAATGATGGTAAATTGAGTAGCGTTTTCTTAAATAGTTAAGAAGTTTTAGATATGGATCTTAAACCATTTGGGGAACGTTTACTACATTAAGCCCACCTGATCTCTAAACTTGCCAACATGGCACTTGAACGTGCAAACCGCCCGCAAGTTCTTCCTGCTGTCTCTGCCGTTCTTCGCAGACAGTGTGGCGTCCTTGAAAGACGGATTCTTGAGGAACAGAACGGGTTTCATTGAATATTGAGGCTGCATTGACCACCAACTAAATTAACACAAGCTTTTGAAGTACCACCACTTCTACTGGCGACCCACCGTCGCCAAAATTATTGAGGGTAAAGGTGTCTTCGGTGCAAGGCATCGGTGCGCTCTTAGAGAAGTGTTGCTCAAGAAAGAAATGCTGATAACTACCTAAGAAGTGTCAAAGCGCCTTGCGCATGTAGTACACTTGGAATGACTAGTAATGGTAAACTGCGGGGATTTCTAAATAAGTTCCGATATCACCTTTACTTGTTGTTTTGCAATTGACAAGACATAGAAAATGTGATCACTGGACACCATTTGGAAGATATGGGGTTTCTCCCAGGTGATTCACTTCCCAGCGACAATGGTCCAATCAGTGACAGCTCACGAAAGGAACTAGCAAAACTTTTCAGATCAACCCTTGATATCAAGGGTTATGGACCATGGTTTGCACCTTCAAAATCAAGGCTATGCCCCAAGATTTGCAGGCCCCACCCCGTGCAATGGCCATTGCTGTGGATCAGCCAGAAGTTATTCAGGTGTTCCACTACCTGGGCGGCTATGTGCGCACATGTGTCACAAAGGGTTAGTTCATAGACCGTATAGTGAAGTCCCTAACTGCTTTCGCCAAGCTTCATCACTTGCGACTTCGAAGCGAATTCGCCCTAGCCCTATAGGGTAAGGTCCACTGTGGCATCGTCGGTCCGACCTCGCTGTTCGCTTATGAAATATTGTCCATCAAATCGACGGACATAAATAGGCTTACTGTGTTCGACCACCAGTGCCTTCGCGGTTTGGCTCACCACTTGTGTAGACACCGTTAGGCAGTGAGCGTATTCGACGTCTCGTTTATAGTGTAAGAACAGGAAGTGAAGCTTTCAGGATCATAATATTACACACTGGGTTACAGTGGCTGGGCCATATAGTACGCATGCCAGCATTCCTACTCCCGCGACGTGCTTTTTTGGCGCGACTGCAGTCTGGATGGAAGAAGAGGTGGTGAGACCAACCGATGGCTTGATCTAAAAGAATGATTACCATACCTCCGAAGTTGGCTTCGGTTGTTGCCTCTCGACTTTCTGGTTGGGATCCGAAGGATAATGAACTTCTTTGATTTCATACACTTACTGGAATGCTGGAGCCAACCTCATTGGCGTGTATGTCGTGAGTTCCTTTGTTCCTCCTAATCATGCTGAAGCTTCTCCTTTAACCACTACGTATATTAATAAAGTGATAGAACGACATTTTTGTTTTATCCTACTGTTGTTGCTGTTACCTCTCTTTTTGCTTATTACACCACCATCTAATAGCATCCAATTGCAGCACGATTATAGCCTGGGCATTTCTCACCCCTAGGTAACGTGTAGGATGATTAATAATTATGCTTAGCTTGCATTAGCAGCTATTTGTGTTCAGTTACCTGTCCCGCCCAGCTTTGCCTACTCTATTTTTTCTTTTGCCCTCAACTCGTCTCATACAGGATTTATTCGCTTTTGGGGCATTATCTTCTTGTCAACTGCACTCGCGGTAACGCTTTTTATACAGGAAGGACACTCTTCGCTCTGGTTGCCAGTGAAGATTTGCTGTGATGTGTTCACTAGGAAGTTCCCGCTTTTCCAGACAAATATTATTGCTGGAACCTCTAGAAGATTTTCTTGTTTGCCATGCACGCTTTGTGTAATGCGTTGCCAGACGTCTCCCGAAACTCTTGAGGAAGCGGCTAATCGTATGGCCTTTGTTGCTGCGACGGATCCTGTCAACGTTGTTGGACAAACTTTAACAGATACACCCGGGTTCAGATCTACGGAAGATAATCTTCCACCTCAAGGAGTAATATTGGATGTCAGTGGAGTAACTACTGCCGGCATGGCGGCGCAAACAAAACCGACTCCTTTGGATGCATACGTGGTGTTGCTTCGGGTAATCTGTCTTAAAGCTGTCTCGAAATTGTTCGTGGTGATTTTTCTGACTAAAGTAAGTTAGTGTCTATCTAGCCGGATCTTTATTCTACTTTGGTTATTAATTCCGCATGTAGTCCAACTCTGAATCACTAGATTTTGAGTGGTTGACATGATGTAGCCGTGTATCGCGAGAGAAATCGCTTCGTACCACTGGTAAGATATTGCTATTTTGCACGATCTACCCTCCTTATATACTGGATGCGATTCCAATCAGGTGAGCAGAGGTAAACTGATTGTGTCCCCACCCTCATTTTGCTTCGATCTGGCGCATCGTGAGGTATCCAGGGCAACTATGCCCCTCCACATTCGCAATGAAAGGCAAATGTGGCAACTAATGCCACCAGCAATATTGTAACAGCTATTTACTTCAAGTGGTTGTGTCCGATGAGGTTGTACTCCAAGCTCGCTAGGTGATGGAACCCTTCCAAGCTACATTAACGACGGGTGCTCTATACCACTAACTGTTGAACGGCTTCCGAAACTCAACATGCCACCGGATGACAAACAAAATGCGGTTATATCATACTGCTAGACCGCTTGCCGTATTCAGTATATTACATGTAGTTGTTACTGTCGTTCGTTTTAATGGAATCTATGCTTCTGCACTTTACTGTTATGAGGTTTGCTTTAATTGTGATCTAGTTCTAGCTCGTCCATACCAGGTCGAGCGAACGCTCAGTAGTTCCGTCAGCTCAGGGATCATTACCGGCATGAGACTTATTGAAAGCTCACGTTAGATTTTCTGAAGTGGGTCACCATACGATTGTTCAAAGTTTATACTTTGTTACTCCGCAGTGAAATTGATGACTTACGCCACCAGTCCCAACCTAATGTTAAGTTCCTTTACCTTAGAAGTGGAAAACACTAGAGTACTAGGCTCATGTCCTCAGCACAAGGAACACCGGATATTCAGTTATCAATAAAAGTGCAGTAACAGCTGCTTCGGATATGCTAGCATTCAGTCAATGGACTGTGCCTGTGCGACGTCTCGTGATAGCGTGCTTCAGAAAACCTTGGCTTAAGTAGACATTGCTGAAGGTTTAACTGTCGACTGTCGGTTACATGGAGTTCTTTCGAAATCAGATATCCATCAGGCATCGTGAAGCGTATCACGCTACAGTTTTCTTATTTTAGGCTGCTCATTTTTATTCCTTTTCCTAATCCAAACTTCCACTGTACACCCAGAACTTTAGGTTGCGTCCTAATTTGACCTAAGCAAACCGTAATTTGCTGATCAACTGCTTGTCAAGCCTAAAGTTTCCGCATCTACCCTTGGTTGGGTAACGGGTGACAGGTGGTAGATTAATCTTGCTGTTTGTTCACTCCTGATCTATAATGCTTTTATGGCCAACGAGCAGAACATCCAGGAATCCAATCAGCATCAGACATTTCAACCTGATCGAACAGCTGGTTTTTCCATCACGCGAAGCCGTGTATGTGTCCCTCAGTGCCGCCAAATTAAACACTCGTCTGAAAGTACTTGGCCTCAGTGCCTGTGTCTATTGCTGTCCTGGGATTGCTATACAATACACACCGACCGAATCATGATGGAGGTGAACTATAATCTCATGAATGAGAGAAACCGAGCCATGATCTATCATAGGTAAAAAAGCAGGCAATTGAGAAGTCCGTAGGATGGTTAGGGTGAAAACTACAAAAACAATAGGTAGATGACTCGTTTGCTTAGGCGTGTACCTAGTAAAATGCGTTGCTGGATAACGATAACGCATAATGTGAATTTGATGCAAGCATACAAACAGAATGGGAAACGGCTATATTTGACGTATTCTGTGAAGGAAAATAGGAGCTTTTACTCATGTTTTAACACATCCGATATGACGGCATGTCAAAGGTAATCCACAGTTGCACAGCTTGACTAACGAACTGCTGGAAGCTAAAGGTAACATTCAATTATTTTTATGAAAATACCTGAAAGGCGGGAGGAGATAATTGAGTTTAGGGAAGAGTTCTAAGACTGACAAAACCGAAGAAAAAGTAATTCCATGGGCGCACTGGACGGTTGTATATTTTACTGTCCCTAGCAGTTACCACTGTGCTTGGTATTGTGGTTAAGTGGCTGCAAATGGCTGTATACGTGGTTGCTGTCACTCAACATTTGGTACACTACTATGAGGTCGTCGCGCAGCCTTCCGTAGTGGCCGCTGAAAACTCTTAGCAACTTTAGACTTTACTGGTAAAAGGGATTACGTAGACCCTTGACATTCATTGTTGTCTTGGGTTATAGTGTTTCTACCACATCTAGCTCGCGCTTCAACCAAGGTTGCCGAGCTTAGATAGCATATTCATGCATGCGTTTAAAACAACTGGAAAAAGAATATAATACAGGTAAAAAGTGCTAGGCTTGACAGTACTCTTGTGATAGTTTGTATGCTTTGTGTGTGTATTAAAAATACTTGACAATAAGGGCGACGCACATATGTGGACTCTCCATATTATCCACGTTAGCACACAAGTGGATCCGTTTACCCCGGTTTCGTGGAAGTTAGTGAACACGATATTTGTCTGTGTCATCTCGTTACATGAGGAAAAGAACTCAAACTAAGTAATGCAAATGGTAAAATGCATAGTTGAGTCCTTTGTTAAAATAGGCAGCGTGATCACAGAAGCCGAAAGAGCGTTCCACGGAGGACAAATTCGTAAAAAAAAACAACTCCGTCAACATTCCAGTCGACTGTATTGGGTGGCCAGTCTTAGCTGATGACCCCCCAATTTTGAGTTGTAGCTTAGTTTCAGGAGGTTGCGGCAAGCGTGACCGGAATTTTTCAAGATCAGGTACACCAGAATGTGGTCACCCCATAGACAGCAATAATTTCCGCTGAACAATTCTAATGGTTCCAGTTACAGATGGTATGACATGTGAACAATACCTTCACATGTTAGGTTGCTGTTTGCTGTGAAGTCTCCACTGCAGCCAGATCGCATTTTAACCAGGGTAGCCAGGCCTAAATCACACACCTACATGGGGCTTCACCTATGTGCAGAACATTTAATGGAAAATGGTGAAATCGAACCTATCTAACTCCATCCGTAAGCGACCAACATGTTGGTTAGTAGTTTTGGACGCCTTCAAGCAAAGTGCCGAACAGCCGAACGCTTTTTGCATCACCACTCCAAGGTAACGCTCTTGTGAAATGGCCTTCCGAGCTTATATGCGTTAGTAGGCTTGTAGCGTACATGTATAATGTTACACTTGCTTTGTTGAACGGAATTAGATTTGTCTTGGACCATTCAAAAGCGCGGTCTAAGTTGTGTTGCACCGGATCATCATCATCCTGGCTATCCACTGCTCGTGATACCTTGATGGCATCGGCAAAAAGCAGGAAATTCGACTTGATGACTTGCACAGTGTCATCAATGAGGAGCAAAAAAGTGAGTCCCCAATACTGGTCACCATGGAACACTACACTATACACCAATATGATCAGAAAATGAGCCCGATACGTAGGCCATCTAAGAATGGGGTTTCCGGTTACCTGTTTGTAGATTGTGGGCTTTGGGGATCTTATCAGCCAAAGGCTTTGAAAAGTCGAGATAGATGACATAATTGCCAGTCCCACTATCCGCTGTTTCCCGCCAACTGCCACGCTCAATCAGTAGGCTGGTAGTATATGCCCGTTGTTGGCAGAACCCGCGTTTTTCCAGTGATTTGGTAAGATCTTTCTAAGTACCACATTAGTGCTTCAGCTATGATCGACTCCATCAACTTTAGCAACCCTGGAGGAAGAATCACTGGACGATAGTTGACGAGTTCCGAAAGAGTACCACTCTTGAAAGTCTGGATAATGATATTCTGACCCCACGTATAATGTGCCTGCTGTTCGTCCAGGCATCTTTGAAGGAATCGGGTTAGTGGCTGATCTATCCCCGCAGCTGCCAGTTGCGATGCTTTCGGGGGAATGTTGTCATTTTCATGGGATCTTTGAGTGCTCTAAGCTGGAAGTAACGTGTGTACATACTGGCATCTGAGTGAAGGGGTCAGATCTGTGCAAAGTGTTGGTACAGCGTCGGAATATTGGAGCATGTTTTGGCAGTAGAAGGTTGGCCGCACACTCGTTGGTTTGAGTACATCCATTTCCTGAGAAGATTAGGGGAACGTTACGCTTCACTTTCCTGAGACTGTTTACATATTTCTATAGAAGCTTGTTGTTAACACGAAGCATTTCAGGTAGGTGTTGTTGGTGGACAAGTGTGTCCTCAAGGACAAGCGTCGTACAGTGCTTAGGCTGTACTATATCGTTACACAAGTTGTCAGGACTGGAAGCTGCTCTGTACACACGCTACTTTGCGTGCCTTACCGCCAGGCGTTTACGGGTTCCGCTCCGAATGAAGGTCGTAGCTCCTGCACAACAGCGGGGCCTGTTTTCCTATGCGAACCTGGTCAGATCACTGAACTTGTCAGCAAATTGCACGCACGCACTATAGACGGAACAGTCATCCATCGGGAAGACTGATCGGCCAAATTCCACAAACACGTGCGGAATCAAGCTGACCTGCTGGATGTTGCACTTCGCAGCTACTCCAGATGGTTTCGGACAGTTGAGGCCACTCCGTAATAGCACACCACGGACAAGTTCCTAGTAAGTGATCTGCAATCTGTGTACTCCAAGCCTATACACATAGTCAAGACCATGGCAGTTGAACACCGACAGTTTCTACATTGTTTCTTTATGGCAAACATGTTTCAGGAATGGACACAGTCGAACAAAATGCCACTCACTACATCTTCAACACGTAATCGAGGGCATGGGCACCTCGGCTTTTCATGTCCTGGTTCAGTTGCAGGCGGTTTCTTTGAGGTGGCTTTTAGTACACTAAGACGGGTTTGATTGTTGCCACACTAGCATAAGCGTGCCAGGCTTCAGGTTCAGCAATCGTTGGCATTCAGTGGTTATGGTCTGTAGAGGCATTTGCGGGTCTTGTTCAAGTTTACTCAGCAGCCTGGTGCGAATCCCTGCATTCCGTGGGGAATGTAGGCCACAGATAAAAATCGGG